TATATATACGTACTTCTAGGTTAATATATTAAAAACTATTTCAACTTCACTTACTCATTGCTATATCATACGGCTAACATGGAAAGTAAAACTAATTTCGAACGAATCCGTAAGCTTTCGAGGAACGAGTACAGGCCTATTGGTACCAATGCAAACTACTGACGAAAGCAACACCCACTTTTCACTACTACATTAGTCAAACTGATAATTCACATAAAATCTAATCTTTTTCTTATCTTATTTTAAAATATATAATTATTTTAAATAAATATAAATTATTATAATAATTGTATTTATTTCATTAATATTTATCTCTTTTTTTTGTTAATTAAATGATATATTAAGTTAACATAATTTACTATAGTTGATAATATGACTCAAAGGTAGTAGGGTATACGTGACGTGTGACCTCTTATCATATATATGAAATGTAGAACATATAAATGCTTATTTTTATTTTTAATCTCGAATTTTTAGAACATTATCATATTTTATTTTATTATCAAAATAATAATAATTATTATTAAAAATTGTAAACTGAGCATTTTTATTTTATACGTTTTTTAATAATAATGATTATCCATATTCTACCTTACATCTATAAAACTAAACAAGGTGATAGAAAATAATCTCTCATTATATTCACATAAATAATAATTGTAATTCGGTGATGTAATAAAAAAATATATAAGAACATTTTATTAGAATTATATTTAATCAAAATCTTCTTCCATTTTGTTAACATCGGTTGATTTATTCTTAATCTGTTCTTGACTATTATACATCTCTGCTACTTGCTGTGCAGTTGTAGCATCCTCGGTATTCTTATCATCACGCACACGTATAAATCGTGGAAATCGAACTGATATGCCTTTTTCTGAATCAACCTAAAATAAAGTATGAAAATAATACAAAGATATTATTAAAATAAAGTACACCACTTGAAATATAAGAAAGTAAAAGATTTTACGATTCCTATAGCAGCTCTATGAACAGGTGACAAAGAAAGATCAGCACATTTAATTTCCCAAACTTGAACAGGTTCAAACCAATGATCCGGCTCATGACTAGAATCAAAACGATAATACGACTTTGATTGCGTTATCAAGTGTTCTTTAAAAAATTCTGTATGCTTTTGTAGATCTTCTTCGCTGAATCCAGTCCCAATCTGTAATATAAATTTATGTATAATAATTCTTTCTCTATTTTATTAATTTATAATATATATTAATTTAAGTATGAATAAAGCATACCTTACACAAACTCTGATACTCCTCATTTTCTTTATCATAACAAGCCAAAAGGAAACCTCCATAAATCCCAGTTCTCTTTCCTTTTCCAATATATCCACCAATTACTACTAAATCTAATGTATCACCCATTCCATCTAAATAATCTTTTTTCAATTTCAACCAATTTCGAGAACGTTTAGCAATTTCGTACGTTGCTTCTTTTTCTAATGTTTTAATCATAAGTCCTTCACAATTTCCTATAAACAAATTTATATTCTATGTTTAGAAATATTTATTAATAAATTATCAGCATAAATAAAAATAATTTACAACCTTTTACGGATTCTTCCAAAAATTCTTGAACTTCTTCCATTTTCGACGTATCCAAACTTGTAGCAAATGTCCACTCTCCCTCTACTTCTGTGAAACATTCTTTTAAAAGTTGACGACGTTCTTGAAACGGCTTTTGAACGAGAGATTCGTCGTTCAAATATAATAAGTCGAACATAAATACACAGACTTGTACTTTGATATCCGCCTCGTTAGCATTCTACAAAAATTAAGTTAATAAATATAATGTTTTATTACATACTGTGTAATTATAGTCGATTAAAAAATATTACTTTGCGTTTACGTGTACTCAACACTTGGAATGGAAGAATTTGTTTTTTTTCGTTATCCCAAGCCACTGACTCACAGTCAAGAATACAATTCGTAACATTTTCTTTGCGTGTATTTTTGAAACGAGCGATAATATCAGGATACTTAGAAGTATTATTTTCTTGATTCCTACTATAAATACTAATTTCACCATTGTCCTTAAAATGAATCTATAGAAATATATTTAAATTAATTATTTCAAATTTTAATATATTTTATATTAAATATAATAACAAACCTGTGCTCTTTCACCGTCGTATTTCCACTCGCACGTAAACTCCAAACCTTCGAATCGCGTCAAAACTTCTTGGATTCCCTTTGTGGGATGTGCTAGCATAGGTTTAATTGGTATTCCTGGTGTAATTTTACATTTTTCGGGTAGAGCTTGAACTCCTTCTTTTAGCAGCACTGGTATAATCAAATCATAATTAGGACATTCACTGAAAAAAAATATAATATAATAGTTCAACAGATAAGACATTGAAATATTAAATAATAAACATATTAATAAAGAATTCATACCAGTAAGTAGTTTTTATTATAAAAGCAATTTCATCATATTTTTGTTTGAAACTATCACGTGACATATTTTTACTGACATCTAAAATTTCAAATGGATAATCTTGTTCAGGTGGTGTTTTAGTAGTCGCTAATGCTATTGCCTAAAATAAAATTTATTTTTTGTAAATAATCGTCATTACAGTTTACATACACTTTTATTGAGCATTGTTTACCTGCAAAAGAGATTGTTCTGCTAAACCCACTCGAAGTTTGCCAGCTAAAGATCTAATGAAGAATCTAGCTTCAGTCAAACGACATGCAACGAAGAGACTCTGAATTTTATTCAATTTCTTTGAAAGAGACTGTAAGAAAAAAATAATTATTAGATACATTTTCGATATAAAAGTTTAATATGAATTATAATTTCACTTACAGAATGGCCTATCATTTGTGCAATTTCTTTCAAGCTTGTATATACACGAGATACCGTAAGCGGTGCTGGTTGGAACATGGTTTTCTGATTTGAACGACTTCCTTCCGCAACAATACCAATATCACCAACACTTTGTACATCTGCTTTTAACTGAGCCAATGTTCTACCAGTACATTGCGCTATTGCTTTCAAAAGATTAGTTTCTGCCACTCCTAAAATAATACCTACAAGCAATTATAAGTGTGTTAGTTCTTTACTTTTACAATTGTTATTAATATTACGTTGTCTTAAATTTAATACCTTCATATGCAGGTGCTAACTGATTCAAACATAAATATATACTGGGTAATAAATCGTTTGGACTTAAAACTATGACAGAACGAAAGTAATTCGATAATATGTCAATAATTTTTAATCTCGCACTTGTTTCTTCTATCAACTCCAAAGTTCTGGTCAATGCAATATATGGCACCCTAAATATAAATTAAAAAGAAAAAATTTTAATTTCAATATTTATAAACCACACAATCGTATATTTCATAAACATTAAAAATGAAAAAGTTTAGAAATTTACTTACATTTCATCCTTTTTCCAGCAAGCATCATTAATTGGATCATAATTAATTGCACTTGGATCGTAAGAATCAACAGCAGATTTTTTGCTATCCTCCGTATCAGGTTTAGGAGCACCTTTGGGTGCTAAAATTATTAAAATATTAATTAATATAACTAATTAATATAACATAGTATAATAACTATTATCTTATAAAACTATTTATATACTTACCAAAGAAATTATGGGTTTCCTTATCAGCTTTTTTAGAAGTTTTAGATTTCTTGACAATTTCTTTTTCATTTTCCGAACTATTTTCAAGAGTTTTTTTATCTGTCTTTTTAGTAATTATAGATTTATTTACTTTTTTTTCATCTTCTGAATTACTTTCAGTATCAGATTTTTGTCCAGAAATATTTTTCTCTTCTTCATTACCGGCATCTTCGGAACTATCTAATAACTAATATTTACTTTTTGTAAGTAATGGAACAATAAAATAAAATGTATTTAATATATAGTAATAATAATAATAATTTATATATCATATACTCACAGATTCATGATTTTCTTCATTACTTTTAGAATTATTCGACTGAAACTCTGTTGAAACTTTGCTTTCTTTTTCCCCATTTTTCTCATTTTTCTCTACAGATTTTGCAGATTCTTCTATCGCAGTTGATTCAGATTCAGGACTTGAATCTGATGGCTGTTGTATTCTTTTAAACTTTTTAATAGCTTTCTTAGGCGTACAAGATCTCTTATTCTTTCTCTTTTCTTGAGCTATTAAAATAATATAAAATGAAATGAGGCTCTACAATGGACATTATTTATTTCTGACACGTATATGGTATAAGTAAGCGTAATTTACTTGATTTAGGAGTTGTATTAATTGCTTCTTCTGAATCCTCATTTTTTTTAGTCGACTTAGAAGATCTATAACATATAACAAATTTGTTTCTAACCTAGTACATAACCATGTACCAAATATATAAAAGTATGCAACATAAACACAACTATTATTGTACATCATAAAAAAGAAAGAGTTACTTTTTGTTAATAGAACTTGTGTCACTTGGACTATCCAGTCGTTTTCGTTTCCCTTTTCCATTTTCTTTTTCAGGATTTAACTTTTTCTTAGGACTTATATCTTTCTTAGATATTAAATCCTTTTCACGTTTGAGGCTAGTACTGATATACAAGTAATTAAAACTATTGTTTAAAATTATTTTACGCACTTGACGTTCAAATTTTACACGTGCAAATAATAAAACAGACAAAGGAAGTGCCTGTTTGTAAAATGATATTAATTTTAACATACTAATACGTTTGCATTACCTTGAATTATCTTCACTGTCTTCAGTTTTTTGTACATTGGTTTTTGTAAAAAATGATCTGCAATAGAAATTATAAAAAGGAAAAATTTACAAATTATTGTGAAAATTAAATCAAATATTATTTTTAATTATTGATCCTTATTTATATTACGTTATGCTCCGTTGTGTCATTTTCGCGCCTTATTTAACCAAAAACAATTAATACTAACATGGCGTGGTTAAATTGCGACGCAATATTCAGATGCGCTACTGAAATCACGAAGCTTAGATAAATATTCAAGTTAGACTAATTAAATATATTTATTTATAGACGATAAATTCATTTGCAAATAATTCTATTTATAAATAATATTTATATTCTCTCAATATTTTTTGTTAGATAATTAGTATAAATTACGTCGTAAAATCATTGGTCTATTGTATTTCATGCTTTGATTGGACGATGTGGAAACGCTGAAAACATTAGCCAATGAAAACTTTTTATGGCTTTAAATGTGAATAACACAAGCCAACGATGAAAACACTTTTTTAATAATTTTAGCTAATTTCTGCGTTATGTGGTGTGCTGATTCGGAAAATAATAATAAAAAAGTCGTATCACCCAACAATTTCTCATATTTTAATATATTAAATAAATATAAATTATTTTTAAAAATAGACATATTTTATAGAGAAAGTTGAACCTACCGGGATTGTGAAATTTATATATCCGTTTTTTTGCAAACGATTAAATATCTAGTTTTTTTTTAAAATATAACGAATAGTTTGAAAAAAATCTGAGATAGGTCACTTTAACGGTCCTCTTGTTAGATAATGTTGTTGCATTATTCGAAAAATTAATAAAAATAAAGGATTAACATGAGAGATAAATGATAAATAAATAAATAAGAAATATATCGCAAAGAGAATTATTATTTCATTCGTTTTTGTTTCAATAAATAATTCCTAAGTGCAATTTGTTTATCTTTGAAAGAACGTTTAACTTTTCCTGCGACCTTATGTTTGATCATTTGATAGTTTTTCGTCTTTTTCTTTTCACGATTCGTTTTACTGCACAATGGATTTTGACGACCATCTTTATAACCAAATTTTTCTCTATCTTCTTGAGATTTCTAAAAGAAACAAAAAAGAGTATAATATATTTTTTATTTCTAGAAACATGAGTGATAATAAACTATACATACCTTTACAGTTTCTAATCGTGCTTCCTTATCATGCCTACGCTTTTTATGAATATTTTCAATGTCACCAAGTTTGACTAATTCTCCTCGATTGTCATCGGATGGGTGTGGTCTTTTTGCACCTAATTTAGCAGGCATTACTTGTTGTTTTATTAATGCCATGTCGATTCTTTTGAAATCTTCGTCCGAGAGTAAACGTTCAACTGAAACTAAAGAGGCCTGTGCTTTTTTCTCAGCAGTTAATTCCTTTTTCTTTTGTACTTTAGTTTTTGCTTTCCTCTCCTCTTTTTGCTTTCTTCTCTTTAATTTCTTATCTCTTCTTTCTCTTCTTAGTTTTAAACGCATAGCGCTATTAAGTTTATTTGTTTTTACATCTTCTTTGCATAATTTGTGCATTTTGTTGTTTTCATCACTAACTTCATTTTTATTATCTCCTTCTTTTTGTCCCTCCTCATTTTCTTCATCGTCGACATCATTTTCATCATCCATACTATTGTCATTGGAAGACGCATCAGTTTCATCATCTGTAATCAAGTCTTCTTCGTTTATTTCCTCGTTGCTGTGTTGAATATCGATCCATTGATCTTCATTCTGTAAAGAATAGAATTTTCTTAGGATAATCTAAACATAAATAATTAACATGATTGAAAATTCAATCTGGTAAATTAAAAATATAATTGCACATTAATTAACGTACCTCGCTATTTTCAGAATCAATTTCTAAAGTGTCATTAGAATCTTTATTAAGTAACACTTCTGCTCCTGGAATAAAATCGGTAGCAGCTACTTCTCCATATTTTAATGTATCTAACTTTATTGTAGCTTCAGTGGGGCGGCCTCTATATTTTTTGTGTAGTAAACTTGGCATTGCTTGTCTATAAACAGCAATTAAAGAAGCTGCTGCCATCATAACACTGCGTTCTCTATAATGTTTGTATTGAGCTAAATCTTTTAAAAGATCTGCATTCATGACCAATGGACATCGTGAACATATTTCACGAACTGCATTCAACCTACCAAAAATAAATATTTCTATTAGAAATCACATCTACAAACTGCATATAAATATAACTATTATTATTAAATGATTTACCCAATGGCCATAACATCTCCAGAATTTCTTTCAGTTACGAAATTATTCACTAAAGTTTTAAGAACAGGTTCTAATACATCTGGAGGTACTAATTCATGACTGGCTTGCGCTACAAATTGTAGCAACTTAGTTACCTCTGTAATTTATAATAACAATTAAAAATACTCCTGCTACATAAATTTTAATTTTTGAATTGCTTTTTTATATTGAAATAATTACCTCTCTGATGGGGTTGCAAGAACCGTTGCAAATATGGATAAAAATTAAAAAGGAACAAATTGTGCAAACCAATAAGTCTGGAGATTACATCCAAAGTCATTAATTTAATTTCAAATCGATCATTGTTCTTTTCTAATTGTTTAAACAATTTTTCTGCGAATCCTTGTGGATCATGAATTAGATGTAACGCAGAAAAATTATATTGTGGAGCTTTAGCTTTCTTCTTTTTAGATTTCTGAAATATTCATATAGTAAAGTTAAAAATATATTAATTATAATTGAAAATTTTATTTTAAAAATGTTTTGCATATCTACTCACAATTAATAATTGTTTAGCCTTCTTCAACATTTTTTCACGCTTCTTTGTTTTCTTATTAACTTTATTAGCCATCATAACTTCTTTAATATTTGGTTCATCATCACTGTCACTGCTGTCGTTATCATTTTCTTCGTCATTACCCATGAAAAATTTTAAACAGGTGACGACCACTTTAGTGATTTTGGAAAAGCAACCAGTAGCTATAATATTTACTGTTTTAGCATCATTCCATACATTTTTCCTGTATAATTCTATCATAACGTCGGCAGACATTTTTGCAGCTTTTGCATTAGTATCTTTTAACATCGTAAATATAAAATTTTGTAAGACAGTGTTAACCTTGGCATTTTTATGTTTCGAATTAATATTCTTAATGTCAGTAATAATATGCGTTTGGAGAAATTGTCTCAAAGCTTTATCTTGGCATCTTAAGAGTTCAAAAAATAAACTGAGAAGCGTTATTGGCTCTAACAAATATTTGTTCCGCATCTGGATTAATGCTTTACAAAATGTCTAGAGAAAATTTGTATAAAATATAATAATTAAAAATTTGTCTTATATGTGTGTGTGTGTGTGAACATATGATTAGAATAATAAATTAATGTTTACCATTCGCATATCATTGTCTAAAACAGTATTATGTTTTCTTAGAATATCTACGATCTCCTGAGGAAAAGTTTTTAACTCATCATGGTAACAATGGGCAACCTAAATAAAAAAATTAAAAGTATGTAGATTTTTATAGAATATATAAATAAATATGCAAATATGTAAAGATATTAAATATTAAATTAGTATTGCTATTGTGAAAGCTTATTATTAGGAATATATGTATATATATTTTGATGATATTTGTTTATTATATATCTAACATAAAAAATTAATACAGAATTATGAGTAACTATTATAATACATTAAATGTGTGTACCTTAAATGCTGTAAATATACATTACAATAATAATATAAATTAAATAATAAAAATCAAATTTTATGCATATGAATTCAAAAACAATAAAAATATATAGTAAGCAATGTATTAATTTCTAATAAAATAATATAAATGATATAGAACTATCATGGCAATTTTTGAACATTTTAACAAATTAGATTTGTGATACCAATGCGATTTGGTATGAGTATTACTCAGGATCAAACAAATAATCTCTTAAATTAATTCCTACTGTTTTAGCAATAATCAATACGAAATTATGATTAACACAACATTTCAATTTCGGTTCATCTAGATTACTTTCATCAACAGATGCTAATAATCCAAGTTGATACATTGTAGGAATTTGTGCAAGCAAAATAGCATTAACATCGACTTTTTCATTGAGAATAGTACAAAATATAGCAAGCAATCTGGATATAGGAAAACTACGTGGGCCAGATTGCATATTCGTTGTTGTCTTTTTTCTCGATACTTTCTTTTTCTTTTTACTACTTAATTTTACGAAAATATGTTTATCTTCTTTAGGAGGATTGTACGATGCTAAATAAGCAGCTATCAAAATATATTTAGCATAAAATGGTAATTCAAAACTTAATGCCAATTTAGCAGTAGATTCTATTTCTTTAGATGCATTGCTATGCTGTACAAAATCTTCTGTCGAAACTCTAAGATATATAACTTCTAAATTAGATATTAACGTAGTTGAAATGTTTCGCCATAATCCTGAAACATCATCTTTCTTTATCAATCCAGATTTTATCGGTTCTATATATTTGTTAAAATTTATTTTGGCCATGTAACGAAGCTCGTTAAGATCTCTACAAAATCTATAAAACACGGAGAGAAAAAGATTTAAATAGTTTTTATAAATAGTGTCGCTATAATCTTTTGGCTTATATAATAACAAAATATTCAACATTTCTTCTCTGTTATACTGAGTGCAATAAATTTTGATCGGTTCAAACAAGCCACCATGTGTGTTACATTTTTCCCATACCACACTGCTTATAAAAATTGTACAAACATTAATATTAGATAATTCTTTCAATCTTAAAAATACTGGGAAAAGACGACTGTCTGTATCTCGCATGTGCATGCACTTGTTGAAAACAATAATTATTGGACGATTGTCATACTTTGAAATTAATTGAAGTTTTGTTATAAAAGTAATTATGTTATCGCACTTAAGGTTTTCAATATTATTAGCAAGATCTGGGTTAGATGTTAAATCTGGGATTAGATCGTTTAAAATATATTCAAATATATGTTTGCTATTTATGAATTCAATGCAATTAATAATACTAAAATTATATCGTAAATATTTAAGTAAATGTAAAATAACTAATAATTTTCCGGTAGCAACATGACCGTATATAAAAATACTTTGTGGCATTGGTTCATCTTTTGTACCTATCAACGAATACAATTGTTTTATAATATCATCGCGACATTTTATTTTTTTATCGAGCTTTTCTAAACAAGGCTCCATTTTTTGTTTTTTATAAATATAAGAGATACTTGAAAAAATTTTATTTCTATTATATCTGAAAGAAAAATTATGAAAATATATGTACAGCGTTACGAACACGTTAAAGAATATTATTAATCACGCGTATGACAAAAAATACAGTTAATATAATTTTTAATGGTATATGATTACTTACTTGTGTCATAAATATGACTAATTCATCGAGCCTTTTATTGAACTCATTCGGAGATAAATTGAAGATATTCAAAGTAGTTTTGTAATGAAGATATTGCTGGAGAAACTAAAAAAACAAACAACTATTAATCATCTGATATACTAGAATCACTCAACAAGAAAATAAACTACACAATTGCGATGAATATTTAAAAAAAAAACTTACTTCTTCCTTATACGATTCAGGATCACGTTTGATAAGATTTTGCAACTGTGGAATATTATTTGGAAGCTGATTATTATGACGAACCATTTTTCCTCTTCATTTATAACAAAATTTATAATAAAATGTATTCAATAAATAGCTACACTTATTTTTAGTATATTTGTGTAATATAGTATATAAATATTACTATATTATATCATCTAATTTATAAAAACAAATGTATAAAATTAGGGTCAATACTGGAAAAGTTTGAAATCAAAACTTATCATAAAAGTCTGCACGTGCACTTAATGATCGTGTAACATAATTTCTATTCTCATGTACTAATTTCTCCCACCATAAAATGTAACTAAAAGTATATAGGAGCAATAGTTTTAGGCGGTTGGTATCAGTGGAGATTATTTCTGAAATATTTTCGATACTTTTAAAAATACATAAATTGTTTATGAAATTATATTAAATTTATAATTTACATATGATTTATATTATTTTATTTTTTTATTTACAAATAATTACTGAAATTGTGAATATCAATTGAGATTTAAATGTTAGGGCATGCGTAGTGAGTTATCTACCATGATGCTTTTCTATAATACGGGGTTCACACACATCTCCGAAAGGAGTTGTAATCGATCGACGACATCACTAAGTCCACGACACCATTTGCTTTAGCATCAATTCATCGTTAGTGTCGAATTATATCTTAAAATATATTGTGTAGTTCTGTGTTTTTCGTGAGCGAAAATGGTGAAGATGGAACATGATGTAAGTAACTAACTAAATTTAATTATTTTAATAAACTTATTATTTATTCGCAATTATTAACATAATTTTATAATACTTTCTTCGTGAGATAATATCACAGTATTTATTCATCTCTTATTCCATTCTCGATGTATTTTAATGAGGTATATAAAAAATTATGTTAGATCTTTCAATATCGTTAGAAATTTACTCTTATTTCCGTCAAATAATTTAATAATCTATTTATATTTCAGATATATTTCATGCTTTCTTTATTATTAAAAGAATATTATGTATATTAAATTTTATATAACATCAGTGTACATTTTTCAACGTATTTTTGATCCATCGATATGAATTTTTGTTGCTTTTTATATTTAAAAATTCATACTGACTGTAATTTTTTTTAATTAGATATTATTTGAACGATAATTTTTATTAAACAAGTACATACAATGTTAACATTACGTATATACTTAAAAATATATATATATTTTGTTCTAACTAATAAATTGTATTTGCTTTTATATAACCACGTATATGCTATTATACGATTCTTATTAATGTTAATGTTATGTAAAGTGTATTATAAATTTAACTTATTAAAATGAAATTATGTTTGCTGTAAACTGATAAACGAATTCTAAGTTTTTTCCGTTACAAGTTTAATCCAGGTTTAGCGTACCCACGCTACGCCATTTTGAAAACGTTTCTGAAATTATAATTTATCATTTATAGATTATATTTTCTATGTGTAATTTAATGAAATATTCGTAATCATTTAAAAAAAGAAAAAGTTTGTTTTAAAAATATTTTCTTTGTCCATTTGTAACTGATTTTAATCGGAACTATCGCATTTATTTTCCATGATAATTGTACAAAAAAAATTAAATCAAAATGTATATACGCATATAGAATTAACCTGCTTAAACGTGATTAACATTATTTTAGGATGGTAAGAACGAACCTGAACATGTTCGGAAATTATTCATTGGGGGCCTAGATTATAGAACAACAGATGATTCTTTGAAAAAGCATTTTGAACAATGGGGTGAAATCGTAGATGTAGTTGTTATGAAAGATCCAAAAACTAAACGCTCTAGGGGGTTTGGTTTCATTACTTATTCACGTGCTCATATGGTAGATGATGCCCAAAATGCAAGGTGTGTATTTTATTTTTTAATTCTTATTTAATAGTTTAGATATCTGTAACTTGGCATAATTACTTACTTAATAATAATATTTTATAGACCGCATAGAGTTGATGGTCGTGTAGTAGAACCAAAAAGAGCTGTTCCAAGACAGGAAATTGGTACACCTAAGGCTGTAACCGTGAAGAAATTATTTGTTGGTGCATTAAAGGATGACCATGAAGAAGAAGACCTTAGACAATATTTCCAAAGTTATGGAAGTATTAATTCAATTAGCATAGTCACAGATAAAGAAACAGGAAAAAAAAGGGGTTTTGGATTTGTTGAGTTTGATGATTATGATCCAGTTGATAAAATCTGCCTTCAACGTAATCATCAGATACGTGGAAAACAGGTTGACGTTAAAAAGGTAAACATAAATTGTTTAATATATCTTTTATATCTCCTATTTCTATTGTATAGAAACATAGTTTATTATATGAAGTTTTTTTTTCTAACAGGCTTTGAGTAGAGCAGAAATGGCATCTGCTAGTGGAGGAGATGGTGGTGGTGGTGGTGGAAGCAGAGGAGGCCAAGGTGTTGGAAGAGGACCGCGTGGTGGTAATCAAGGCGGTGGCAATTGGGGAGGACGAGGAAGTGGCGGAGGTGGTGGTGATTGGAATAATGGTGGTAATCAAGGTGGTTATGGTGGAGGTAATCAAGGAGGTTGGGGAGGTAACGGCCCGTGGGAAAACCAGAATCAAGGTAAAGGTTCGCAGAAAAAAAAACATTTTACTATATTGTTGTTACAAAACTTTATTTCATATTTTGTATTAGATGATAAAACTTGTCTGTGTAAGTTGAAATCAAGCTATACAATTATGAAAAAAAAGTTTTGAACTACTAAGTTAAAGAATAAATAAAAATGTGATATCTAATTTGAAAATTACTTTTAAAGGTGGGGGATGGGGTGGTCAAGGTGGTCAGGGTGGCTACAATAGCGGTGGAAACTGGAGTAATGATAACTTTGGTGGAGGATATCAACAAGGCTATGGTGGCGGACCAGTACGAAATAACTTCAACTCTGGAGGCAGACCAGCACCCTACGGTATTAATATGGGTCCTAGTGGCCGACAGTCTGGAGACTCGAGATGGCTACCACCCTTCGGTGGACAAGGTTGCTTCCCTCCTTCTCAAACGCCACCGCGTCTGCCACGCAACTTGAGTAACTGAGTACTTTTAGTATCTTGCAAATAGTATGACCATATAACGTACAATTTGTATAAACATGTTGGTTCAAAATATCATATATCTGATATGATAAGAAGACTTCCAAGTTACACAAGTTGCGTCGGCATAAACATCAAAATTTATGATTGATTGATTTTAATTTTTAAATAATTATATATCCTACTGTTAAGAATCCACTTTACATTTTTACTGAATTCTGTGTGGATATAATTTGATAAACATTGGATAGCATGGTGGGATTTTTATGCTAACTATATTACCAAATAAGTACTAACATTTGTTAAATACTTCTTTATATATATATTGATTGCCAAAATTAAATGATAAGAGGAAATTAATGTACATATATTTAGGAGAAAAGACATCAGGCGCGATGTTGCAGTGAGAAGGAGCGCCTTTGTCCACTCTCTCTTTCTCTCTCTGTCTCTCTCTCTCTCTTTCTTTCTCTCTCTCTCTCTCTCTCTCTCTCTCT